TTTTTATTTCCGGTCTGGATGGGGATGGAGCCACTTCTGGCATCTGAAAAACACACACCACTAACAAGTCCTTGTGGAAGTTTAGACTCACGAACACTTCTTCTAGCAACCAAAACAACACGGAAATAGTTTTTTTTTTCAACATTTTTTTTTTAGCATCCCAACCAGCACGTAGAAGGACATCTTTTTTCTGAGCAATTGGATTAAAACAACGATCTCCCTCTGCAGAGATCTACTCGCTCACTCCTCAGTTGGCGATAGTACGGGAGTTCTGTCTGAATCCCGTGGCGACATCCTCTAATTTGTTGCTCTCGTGTTGCTGTGTGCGCCCTCTTGCGCCTCGCAGCACCCCCCGCTCCCCCGGCCTCTAGGAGATATTGAAGTTGCCCCTCTCTCCCCAAGATCTCACATGTGGCTCGTGTTAGCGCCCCCAAAAACTGCCAGAGAAACAGAGGTCTACACGGAGCTCTTTAAGTGTCACTGCTTCACATAGGAGGGTATATAGAGGGCTGTTTACCCGTGTGCGTGTTTGTGTGCGTGTTTGTGTGCGTGTGTGTGTGAGAGACTAAAGGATAAAGAGGTGTTTCACAACACTGCATCAGTTCGATGTTGCCCAATCGCAGTTTTGCAAAAGCACAGAACAATTGTGGTCAGACCAAGTCTCAGAGTCTCCTTGACCCCCCCCAAGTAATCCTATGTTGGTGATATGTGATACATTTATATATATATATATATATATATATATATATATATATATATATATATATATATATATATATATATATATATATATGGCTGCGTTTGGCAGGAGGACCATTGTTAGAGCATTGAGTTAGTCTGCAGGGGGGATTTCAACTTTGGGAATCAGCATTTGCAGGGTGGGTATGTTCTCCTCTTTTCTGAGGAACACAAGGAAGAAATTATGTGTTTTTCCCTTGACAATGATCGGTTAACCCCCCGAAAAGTGTTGTTGGTGCTGGTCCCATAGACGTCTATGGGAAACTAGTCTACTTCTCCCCTGATTCATTCCCTCAAACATCGTAAACATGAGTTTATGGTCTCAATCTTTAGTTAAAAAAATGCTCTTTTATTCTTGCTTGTTTCTGCATGTGACACAAAGTGGAGCCGAATATGTTAAATAACGTTTTCTGGTCTGTAGAAAGACTCAAAAAACGGATTCGGACTCGAATCTCAGAGTTTTTGAGGCGACCAAAATGCACGAGCTCAGAAAAAGCTCCACATGTCTCCTTTAAATCTACAAATTCTTACATCATGCTTTACATCCATCGGTCTGGAAGCCATTAAACACACGATTTGTGCAGAGTATTAAATTACATTCTACAATAAATTACACTTCTGAAGCTCAGACCTTCTCCTGAGCTACTGGCGGCGCATCGGGGTCCACACCGCGGTGCAGCTCTGCCATCTGCTGCCTACACAAGGAACCTTTAACTGCTGATGAAACAGTCTCAATTCAAAAGACCATCAGAGAGAAGATGTTCTGGTGGAACCAGAAGACATCGTGCATGTTCACCAGAACCTCTTTCAGCTTTTAACTCTTTGGACCAGATCCTCCAGCAGTCCACAGTGCAGCGAGGGGAGGGGGGGGTGACTGCGAGACCCTGCAGGAGAATGAGAGGTTTTCTAAAGGGACCCTGGTGAGAGGAGACACTACCACTTCAGTCCACAGGGGGCGCCAGAAGGCTTCATTAAGGAAAGTCATACAATGATGTTCACCAGCCGTTTATTAAAAAAAAAATCCAGTTTTAAGTGTCAAAATCTCCAGTCAAACAATACTTCATATTACATATCTTCATATAAATTAACCAGCTTGAGGCATAAGCAGGTAATCCCGGCATCAGGCTGCCTCGTATCCGTTAAGTGATCTAAGATGATCAGAAGGCTTCGTATTGATTAAGGGTGCTTCATCGAGCAAAGTAAGTATCTACATACAAAGAGTTCATCTCCAAGTCTGTTTCCTTATCAGTGAATTATTACATTCTGATTCCACCACGTGATCTTCATCAGAGTCCCGCTCCTCTCGCTTCTTCTTCGTGTGGCTTCAGCTGCTGCCTCCTCCTCCTCCTCCTCCTCCTCCTCCTCCTCCTCCTCCGTGTCAAACTGTTTCTTATCCCCCGTGGCTCAAAGAAGGCGAGGTGACACCGCAGCTCTCAGGTCGACCTCTTGCCCCCCCGATGCTCCTCACCGCTTCTCCAGCTTTTTGAATCGAGCCTCTGGAAGGAGGAAAGACAGATGTGACCACAGCTGCTGCTGATGTTGTTTAAAGTGTGGCGTCATGGCGCCATCTGCTGGTGGAGTTCAGAACGTGTGTGTGGTTGTGGCTGTTATTGTATTGTGTCTTTCTGGGTGATTAAAGATGTTCTTCGTGGTTTTAAGATCCATGGAAGTTTATACAATGTTGGTCAATAGTCGAAAATGTCCGTCACATTTTATTTTTCTGTTCTGTTGTACTTTTATGAGAAATGACTTAAAGTTTGTATTATTTGTAAACAAATCGCTTTTATTCTCCAAATGAAAGAACATTCATGTTTTATCGATCTGTTAAACAGTCAGCTGCTTTATTTAAGTTCATTTGAATAGAATGAGTCCCTCTCCAAAGCTCATGTCACACATCTAACGTCTTACCCAGTTTCTTGGAGTAGGTGTCCAGTTTGTAAGCGGCCTGTTCGAGTGAAGACACCTGCTCCTCGATCTGGTTGATCTGGTCCAGGTACGGCTGTAAGCTGACGTCTGCAGCAGAGACACAACGTTGTTCATGCTGCAGATAGAACACGGCGGTAAGAAGTGAGGCACTTCACGCACATTTGTTGTTGAGGTCCTGCAGGTTGCGGCTGATGTTGATGCTGATGTCCTTCATCTCCATGTACTTCAGGCTGGTGAGCTTGTTCATGTTCTCCAGCAGGCGGTAGTCCTCACACGTCCCTGGGCAGGTAAGGACATTAATGCACAGAGGTGAACAGAAGCGATTGTGTAAAAACGGTCGCGTCGGCTCTGAACAGTCGGTGAGAGACCTGTTAGTTCTCCCTGCAGGAACACGGACATCTTTTCAAACATGTCGGTGCACAGCTCGTTGATGTCGAGCTCCGCCGGCTCCACGGCCTCCTCCGCGGTCTCCACGCCGCCGTCACCTGCGCCAGAGCACCAACGCCACCAATGTCGTTATGAGGGTCTATTATAGAACGATTACATGAATACAGCACCAAAAACACATGTATTTATAATATAGAAATACAAAACGTAACATGGAAAAAAAAAAACGATTGGTGAATTCGTAATATTAAAATACATCTATAATCTATAAACAAGTGAATCAATATTAGTACATAATATACAATTGTTGTGCCATGCAACAATATTACTATAAAAGGTAATCAAGATACGTATATGACATACAAATAATATATATTATAAAATATTAGAACATGAATACAAGTTATATATCTATCCTAAAATAAAATAATGTGAATAATATGAAGAAACTAAGTGTCTATTAAGATGTAAAACACTAATAACAAGCTGCTGTGCGATGCTAGCGTTCATTAGCATTAGCGCACTACGGAAGCTGCGAGGAGACATCACCCACTGCTCGTGCCGGGCTTTTTGGGAGGCAGCGCCGGGGTCTCCGCCACATCCTCCGGAGCCTCCGCGGGCCCGCTGGAGCTCGCCGCCGCGTTGAGGGCCGCCAGGTGGGCCGCGGGGGCCCGGGAGATGCTGTCCATCGCTGCGGCGTCGTCGCCCGTCGCCGCCATTTTCTTTCCTGTGTTGGATTTGTTTCTCTTTTTTTGCCCGTCGTCACATGAGTGTTCACGTGACTTCCGCCCGCCGCCTGTCGCGCGCATTGCCACGCCCTGACGAGGTTGGAATGTGAGGCATGCTGTTTAAAACCGCCGTCACAAATCACTGTTAACCGCCGGTTAAAATAATATTTTAAAATATGTATTGCAGTGTGTCAACAGAAAGATTAGACTGTTCACAGTTATGCAGTTTAAAGGTAAAACAGAAAAATAAGAAACTTTTCTGAGACTTAATTCATTGTTTTTGCAAAGTATTTATTAACGAAAACAGTTCTCTCTTAAAGATGAGCTGGAACGATGTGCTGAACACGACCCAGATTCAATTCAATGGAATTGCTTGCGTACAGCCCTGATATTACAAATATCCCATAGTGCCTTACAATCCTTGACCCCCCACCCCAAAAAAGTATTTAATGGGGCGTTTAGGAGATGTGTGTATATTAGTTAATTGGAGTTGGAAATACTGATAATTTGTTTTTTTTATTTGTCCACGTTGTACAGGAGCTGAAAACATGTGACATGTATTGAGAGGTATTTATGTTGGATTGACGTTCCCTTTATTTACTCGTCTGTATTGACGTCATGCAGCTGCATTAGCTGCAGTTTTTCTTTTTTGTGTATTTAGTCAACGCTTTTGCTGCGTGAAATTAACACCAAACGAAAAGAGTTAAAGATCTCCAGTCATTCGCGTTAAGGAAATTAAATCAGTGTCTGCAGCTCAATTGCGGCTTAACAAAATGTGCAACATAATTCAGTAACATTATAGTCATTCCATGTGGTAGTAAATTTACAATAGCAGTGCTGCCACCAATAATAAGCACAGAGGATTTATTAGCGGGATATTTTGGCTTTTATCCAATTAACCTTAATAAAATGTGTATTTCTTAGTAAAGTACATGTAAAGCTAATGAATTGTTCTCATGCTACCAAGACATACATTGAGTAGGTTTCTCTCTAACACCAGTTTGGATCCTACATTGTTCTCCAGTACAACATCATTGTTATCACTACTTTAAAACCAATCGTTCTCCCGATCTCCCATCCAACATTATTATTTAATACTATTTTTATATTTCATTGTATTGATAATATTCTTAACATCATTACAAAAGCCAATATCTGCCTCAGACAAAACGATAAGACAAGGGAAGACACATATTAACGTATTATCCTTAAATTCTGAGAAGCTAAATCAAAAGTATTGCTGAACTATTTTTTTTTTCATTTTCCGGCACAAGTGGCCTTCTGTCCAAACAAAACAGTAATAATATAGAAATCATTATAACGACCCTTCCGCTGTGCGCGCTCCCGCGAGAAGCACGCGGTTCTCGGCAGGCGGAAGCCGGCGTAACACCTGCGTCGGCGCTGTTGTGCTGGGAAGCTAGAATCGTGACAGGCGGCAGGCGGCATTGGACTGTAAACATGGCGGCGTGCACAGCTACAGGGCTGTGCCGACCACCCCGTTACTACTAGTCTGCGAGACGGAGACACCCCCCCCCGCCCCCCGTGCCTAAACATGGGGACCCGAAAGAGAGGAGCACACTTGCAGTGTGATCTTCAAGGGTTTTCGCGACCCCGATATGAGATGACAAGTGGTTCGAGCGGGGTAAAAAAAGTACCTACTATGCCGGTGTGAATCTGACCAACATAAGACCCCTCGGTCGTGAACCGATTATCAGTCCATGGAGATGCGGGCTATCCTCCGCGGGAGTCTCGCCCCGGGACGTGAGAATTACTCGCAGGACCGGGACGTG